GTAAAGTCCCAGAATCTCAATGATCTGAGACTGATCTTAAGCCCTGAGGTCTGATCAGGCCAAGTGTATTATCCTAGACAAAACATTGGAGAAGAAATCATCTCCCTAGGCACCTGAAAACCCTGCTTTTGAATCAATACTCTGGGATGAATATGCTTAATTTACCTATCTTACTTGGCACTTTCTTTGGCATCCATATCACCAACTTATGTTTAGTAGCTGACAATGATGAAGAACAAATTAACATGTAATAAATCTTGAATAAGCTAATGGAGTCCATGATTTGTTGGTTACTTCTTTTCACCATGTTCCTAGGGATGTATCCAGGACATCAGACCTACTGAGCACACCCTCTGTCCCTGAGTCCACCCTAGTCCTTCTTTCCTTCTCCACTCAACAGCCTGGAAAGTGCATAGTATTAGTATCTCTAGACATCAGGAAAAGGGGTAGGATTGTCAGCATCCTCAAACAAAGCAAATGACAATGTTTCAAATATAAGACACTTATATCCACTGCCCACTCCTTCCTAGATAAATGGTTATAATGGATTTCTATGAAGGTGTGCGATGACGCCAAACATCCATGAAGGTGAGAAAAGGATGATAACGCTTTTCGGGTCTATGTACTGGCTGGGAACATCGGCTCGATTTCTTCTTCACAGATACATACACAGAATATAGCTGAGTCCTGATTATGGGGATGGAAGCCCCTCTGGGTGCAGATTGATATTTCATTTAATCCAAAAGGTGTCAGTGTGAAAATTCCAGTTCTGAAATTAGAAAAGACAGCATCACAGTCAATCAGATATCCCATGCGTCTCCTTCCTCTCTCTATCCTAAACCTTTCTCTCCTCTTTTCTCTGCTTTTCCTTCTTTTCTTCCTCTCTTTTTCCTCTCCTATGACCTCTCTCCTTTCTCTTTCACTTCTGTATCCTTTCCCCATCGTCTCCTCCTGTCTCTCCTCTTCTCTGCACAATTATTCCTCCCTCACAAATGATGCAGAAGTCCTTCTATTCTGAGTGATCACTGTCATTGGTTCTGTTAGAACTTGTCTTCTTTGTCAAAGTCCCAATCCACCTCCCACCTGCTCTCTTATTTCTTCTCTTCCTCTCTTTGACCTCCTCCTCATTCTTCTTCTTCTTACCACTTTCTGTTTATGTCTCTCTCTGTCTTTATCTCTTCTGATCTCTTTCATCTAGATTGACTTAATGGAACAGGGGAACTCAATAATAGAAATGAGAAGGAAGAAGAATAAAGCAAAAAAGTAGGTCTGTTCAGGCCAAACATTGTGAGGAACAAGTGGGGGTTATGCTGAAACCTGAGACCACTAGATCCCCTGGGACACTTTCCAGACTACAAAAATTAGTCCAAGAAAAGCAAGATGATGACTTGCTTTCCCAACACTAGATCTGCTAAATAATACTGACTAACAAGACATTTGGAATGATATAGAATGACACTATTCTGAAGTGTCTGGTATTGACTTTTTCAACCTGTGGCTTTAGAAGAAACTTCATGGCAGTTTTCCTTAGAAAACTAGTAGTGATATCAGCACATCTTTTAAGAGCAGCTGGTGTTAATTAGAATGTGCTCCATAAAGGGACACTTCTATAGCAATCAGTTGAGACCCTCTGGATATTAGTTTTTAAAGTGTTCTGACCCATACAGGAGTTTGCACTTGATCATCCAGGTTCGAATCAGACATACTCACTGTTTATATTTGGGTGCGCAGACCACTGCAATTGATTCTGGCAGCATTATCTGGTAAGAAAAATGTGTGTGTACATCCACACTCGACAAGAAGGCTGTCTGGGTTGGATGTGTCTAAAGAGACAAAAGAATTCAAGAATTCCCAGTGAGACCCATGTCTGAACCAAAGGAGGAGGTCCCAAGGATTTTAAAAGACTGGCTCCCACCATAGTTCCCCACATAATGCCAGAAAAACACTTTATTCGTCTAGGAGAAGATGGAAGAGGGATTGATCTCTTTTGTCCTCTGAATACATAAATGTCTAAAATAGCCGGGATTTGAAAGACCTTGGAAGAACCCCCCTTAAAATCAGTCTTCCTCTAGATCCCATATTGAAGCTTATGAGAGGATCTCTGCCATCTCCATGAACTCACTGCAAGGTTGCCCTGATGCAGATTTCTCAACCTCAATTCCTCAGTCCTGAATCTCTGAAGTCCCACATTCTGAACACATGGCCATCACCCTCTCATCATCATTGGAAGTTAGCAGCTTCCACACATTAAATGACCTCTGCTCTGCAACCAGCCTTGCAAATCCTTCCTTTTATCTTCTGGAGTCTGGATTCAGTCACATCATTGTGCTGCCCTAATTATCCCATGGAGCTCTCCATTTATTCAAAAGAACCACTGTTCTTCCTACCCATAAGCAACAAAGGACAATATGGCTCTGAAGGGTTGGCTTGACACAAACTTGACATCCCAACCAAGACTACTGACAGATACATGTTAAGAATGACATTGACCTCTCTTTTGCTTCCTCTTTATACAAAACCTCAGGTGGGACTTCACTTCCTCTGAATCCCTCAGTGCCCTGTATCTACATCCTGAATAGTAACTTGCACGCTGCCTCATGTGAATTGGTGCTAGTTTTCTGTTTTACCTCCTATTTGTGTCCATTCTCAAAGGGCCAGATTTCCTTGCTGCCGTGGTATATTATTGTTAGGGAAATAAGTGAATTCTTATGCAACTGAAGCATGAAGACACAGAAGACTGCCCACATATCAATGCTCCACAAGCAGTGATTACAAATACCTGTGAGCTCTAAAAACCTAGAAATAACTGAGTGTGGCTTACACCTGTCTCATTCCAATCAGAGCTGCCTGTCATGTCAGTTTGAGGCCTTGAAGAGAAGAGAATCCTTCAAAGGAATCTCTATGGAGGAAATGTGATTTCTTGAAGATCACCACAATTCTGCACAGATTGTCCAAATATGTGACCCTTGGGTGAAGGAGACTTTTGTGTATGTATATAACAAGTGCTCCTTCATAAAGACAAAATGCAATCATGAGAATGAACACTCTTGACTTAGTTAAAATAATTACGTACAGCTTTTAGGTATATGGAGTCTACAGCACTTTCCTATACATCCTAGGGAAGCTAGCATTCTCCATACACATACAAGGAATTGGAACATTGAAGAACTAAATTGAGTAGAGCCGAACTACTAAAGCTGAAATGCACCAGGAGATGTGCCTTTGACTCAACACTGGAACACTAGTGACTGCATGTGCTCAGAGACAGTTGATCTGGAATAGGTTGACTCTGTGTAGAGAGAGATCTGGGCAGTGCACTCAGAAGAGCAGCTCGCCACCAGTGAGGTCAGTTTGCTTACATGAATCCAACCTAGGGTGAGAAGGCCCAGTTCTTCTTGCACAAATAAGATGGTTTCCTCATTCTGGGCATAACAGTAATCGGGACCTCCTTTCTGCACAGGAATAATGACATGGGAGACATGGTATTCGTCCTTTACCTATCAAAAGAAAATAGATTGTTACCACTCCCTGACATTGTCAATCCCACTCTCTCGTAACATAAGTAAGTCAAGCCCTCACCCCCGTGAGTGACTCTCATCAATTTCCGTCACCTCAGCGTTTCCCCACCTTGGCTGTTCCAGTGCATTGTTGGGGAACCATATGAAAGGAAGGAAGATGACATGACCACAAGATGTCTCTCATAGCACACCCTTGGCCTAGGGTCTTCCCTTCAGCAGCCATTGGGTCTATTTGGAGGTCTTGAAGTATTTAATTTATATTGCAAGTATCAGTACAGTGTGGGTGCTCAGACCAGACCACATAAATTATTGACCCATCCTCCTTTTAGAATGAGACAAGGAGCTGTCTCCATGACTCATTTACACATTTCTATCTGCCAGCCTGGATGCTTTTACTTCACTGTCTCTCTCCATATGTGATCCTGCTTTGAACTTGTGGGAAACATCCGGTCTCAGTTTGCCAATGGCTAGGATTACAGGCATTAGCCATGACTAGAATGAAAATATCTAACATGACATTGAAGAGGATCTCTGAATAACAACATAATACAGGCAACAAATTCAGGTAGCTCAGGCCTTTTCACCAACTTTCCTTCTGTGGAGTGGTATGTATGGACACTGCCCCTGGATATGTTTTCTGAGGGACCTGGGCAGCCAAAGGGAAGAAACCGCCTCAACTCAAGAAGAAATTTTAAGATCTTTACCAGAGTGCCACATAGCACACCACATGTCTCTATGCCTTTCTTGGTGTTCTTCCGTGCAGAACGGAGGAACTGTTTACAAAGGTCCTTTGGAAGGACCACAGTGTGGAGGCCTTTGGAGTTCTGTCCTGAAATGGAAAAGAGGGAGAAATCTGAGGTTACAGGTTCTGGTGTGCCTGAGTAGAGCTCAGCATGGTACTGTTGTGAAAAAACACAAAATCAATGGGAATCTCTCCTGAAATCTCCTCCC